AGAGAGAGAGAGAGAGAGAGAGAGAGAGATTTATAAAAGCAACCCAGTAGTCGAGTGAGTGCTTAGTGGTCGACGTCACAGTGCAGAGTTCCTGGGTTCAATTCCAGCTCCGGCCTTCCTGTGTGGAGTTTGCATGTTCTCCCCGTGCTTGCGTGGGTTTTCTCTGGGTCCTCCGGTTTCCTCCCACATTCCAAAACCATGCATCGCAGGCTGATTGAACACTCCAAATTGTCCCAAGGTGTGTGTGTGAGCGCAAATGGTTGTTCGTTTCTGCGTGCCCTGCGATTGTCTGGTAACCGGCTCAGGGTGTCTCCCACGTACTGCCCGAAGACAGCTGGGATAGGATCCAACATCTGTTGTATTTGTATTATTTGTTTTCACTGCCTTTGCGAACACTTTGAATGCAACAATGGCTGTTGGAACCCTTGTGCTGCAATTTCTACGATGTTTGTAACACATGGGTTACCCCATATGTTACAATTTCTACAATTTTTGTAGATTTTTGCGTATTGTCATCTTTAAATCAAAGACACGGCATAAAAAGTGTGTGATATGAAATATTCCAATACATGTTTTATTTATATAGATTTATATTTATGTTTTGGTCATAGCACAATACCGCTTTTATTGTCCATAGAGGGCAAAAATACAAAGACAACAATAAGAACTATATGTGTATGTATAGCACTGATGCCACTGAACATGTCGAGTGGTTGAAAGTGAAATAAATATTCAGGAATAATACTTTTACAATTTTTGTAAAATTGTATGTTGCGTTATATAAACTTATTTAGATCGACTGAGGCACATGGGTAAATTTCTCTTTCAATAATGTTGAGTAGAGTTTGGTAAGTGGAAGATATATAGCCATCTCGTTACCTCTGTGTCCCGCGTCCTAGACGCATAATTTTCCCTTGGGACGCACAATTCCAAATAACGTGCGTTTTTTGGGACGCAAGGAAATTTCTCAGTCAAAAAAAAAAAAAAAAAAACTATGGCAGGCCTGAGGATTTCACGGTAATGATCGTTGCCGGTAGGGTGTCGTTTCCGTGGCGTCATTTTGACGGTACTGAAACGTCGTTTCACCATAAAAGTCACCGCGCACGAGTTGACTGTACGCGATCAATGTGATTTCACTGTGTCTGTATGAGTGTTTATGATGGGGTGTGTGAGTGTGTTTCTTCTAATTTACTTTCGTTTTGTTTTGTTTTCAGTGTTGGAGGGGACGCAACAGATAACGTAATGTGCTCATGCGGGTTGCTATTTTAGTCCGCAAACAGAGGAATCACGCGGATGAAAGTTTGAGATGGCGGTGAAAAAAAACTCACAAATGGCTACTAATTACGACCTTTAAGAAATGGGAATGCCAGTCTGATTTTTCGTATGAATCGTCCGAAGGGCGTATCACTAAACTCACCTGTGACGTATGCACAGACCCCGAGAGCGAGATACGACGGGAGGCATGATTACGAGGCAAGTTGGTCATTAGATCTATAGCCTAATCGCTATGAAAAATATTATGAAACAGTATTGGTTATTCTATAATTTACTGGTTTTCCATGGTTACTCTAGGAATAAAACATTCGTCACAAGGTGTAGTAATGCTAATGTTAACTGTTGGCAGAACTATCAAATTGATAGTAGATTACACATGCATCATTTTGGGAAGAGGATGTCAAGCCACATCAATACTTACCTGTATTAATGATTCTTCTTCTCCTTTCAGCTTGTCCCTTTTCAGGGGTTGCCACAGCGAGTCATTAATTTCCATCTTTCCCTGTTCTGTGCATCCTCTACTCTGACTCCAACTACCTGCATGTCTTCCCTCACGGCATCCATGAATCTCCTCTTTGGCCTTCCTCTCTGTCTCCTACCTGGTAGCTCCATCTCTAACATTTTCCTACCAATGTATCCCCTGTCCCTCCTCTGTACATGTCCAAACCATCTCAGTCTGGCCTCTCTCACTTTTTCTCCAAACTTTCCTGTCTGAGTTGTCCCTCTGATGACCTCATTTCTGATCCTGTCCATCCTTGTCACTCCTAAGGAGAATCTCAGCATCTTTAACTCAGCCACCTCTAACTCTGCCTCCTGTCTTTTGCCAATTGCTAGTGTCTCGAGACCGTACATCATGGCCGGTCTCACAACTGTTCTGTAAACTTTTCCCTTTACCTTAGCTGACACCCTTCTATCACAAATCACTCCTGCCACTTTTCTCCAGCTGTTCCATCCTGCCTCCACTCTATTCTTCACTTCTCTTCCACAAACTCCGCTGCTCTGCACTGTTGATCCTAGGTACTTAAATTCCTGTACCTTCAACACCTCTGCTCCCTGTAACCTCACCTTTCCACTGGTCTCCCTTCAATTTATGCACATGTACTCTGTCTTTCGACGACTGACCTTCATTCCTCTTCTCTCTAGTGCAGACCTCCACCTTTCTAGGTTTTCTTGTAGCTGCTGCCTACTCTCACTAAAGATCACAATGTCATCTGCAAACAATATGGTCCAGGGCGACTCCTGTCTGACCTCATCTGTCAATCTATCCATCACCATAGCAAACAAGAAGGGGCTCAGGGCCGATCCTTCATGCAGTCCTACCTCCACCTTGAAGTCATCTGTTCGTCCAACTGCACACCTCACCACTGTTGTACTATTCTCATACATGTCCTGAACCAACCAAACGTACTTCTCTGCAACCCCTGACTTCCTCATACAGAACCACAATTACTCTCTTGGCACCCTGTCATAAGCCTTCTCTAAATCTACAAATACACAGTGCAGCTCCTTCCTACCTTCCCTGTACTTCTCCATCAGCATCCTCAGGGCAAATATTGCATCTGTGGTGCTCTTCCTCGGCATGAAACCATACTGCTGTTCCACCTGTATTAATGATTACCAGTAAATTAATCTTTGCAGTGCGAGATTGGAAAAAATACGATGATTTTGTGTGATGCTGTATTCATGATGCCATATCAGTACACTATATTTTGATCCACTTATTTTTTTGAATAAACCTGGAGTACACAGCTGGTTCTGTAATGTTCGTTGTTAATGGATAGTTTTCAAACATTTACCGTTGAAACATTATACTTTTGAGTTTCAGAATTCTTGATTATGAATATCAGTTAAAATAGAAAAATGGGTTCCCATGATGAATGTTTACGGGACCCAAAATTAGTTACCGTGGTTTCCCTTGGGTAATCCGACGGAACCGAAAAACGGTTCCCGTGATTTTCCGAAATCCTCAGGCCTGCTACTGAATCATTTAAATTTTTGCAGCATTTGTTTATAACAGTATGTATATGTTATTGTTTGTGTTATTATATGCAATTGAATAAGCAGACCATTTCAGAATTCGAAATTTGGGACTCTCTAAATGCATAATGGGACTCATACTTTTCTCATCAGCGAGTCCCTGGGACTCGCTGGGGGTAAACTGGAAAATTATCACTGGATATAGATATGGCTGATGATTTTTATTGCTTTTACAGGGCGGCAGGTGGTTCAATTTGATGCCATACCCACCAAGAATGATTGTTTCTCTGAAAACGAAGGATGGAATGTCTAAATCGAAGTCACATTCAAGCAATTCAAGTCATTGAGAAGAAAAATCATCTTTATTATTTGAACTGAATACAGGTGGCAAGGATGGGAATCTCTCTCTCCTGAGGAAAGTAATTTCATCCGTTCTGGATGTTGCACATGAAGCATATTTGACAATAAAGTTGACTTGACTTAGCTTGCCATTACACATTAACGATCACTCGATGATAAGGATGATGAGGACTGAATGCATGAGGACGAGTTTTGTTTTGGAATAAGAACAACTCTCTTTGATCTGGGGTGACATGGCCAGCAAACCCAGGGGGTGGATTGGTTGTTGATTAAAGTCCAAGTCCGGGTGGTTGTGTTCATCCAGAGTAACTGCTTTTGGCGAGGCAGATCTTGGTGGGGACCTAGATGGTGGTTCAGGTTTGAAAAGGTCACGTTCCAGATTGTTGTTTTCATCTGGGGTCACAGATGGTCCAGGTTGACAGGATGCTAGTCCAGGTGGGTTGTTTTTATTTGGAGTATTTGATGATGGCATGGGTTGTTCTGGTAGTGGTGCAGGTGTGAGAAGTCATCGTGCAGGTTGACAATTTGGTGTCCAGATGGGTGGTGTTGCACTGGTGGCTGACATTTGCCAGGGTTGCTTCGTATGATATGAAATAAAATTTGGATCAGGAGGTGGTGGCAGTGGGCCATGTGGCTAATATGGTGGTTGGCCAGGTGGCCAATATGCTGGTGGAGCAGGTGGCCAAGGTGGTCGTTGCCCATGGTTAAAGGGAGGCCAATATGGATAATTTATTGGTGGCCCAGGAGGACCTGGTGGTCCAGGTGGTCCTGGTTCACTTGGTGGTCCTGGTGGTCCAGGTGGTCCAGATGGTCCTGATGGTCCAGGTGGTCCTGGTGGTCCTGATGGCCCATCTGGTCCAGGTGGTCCTGGTGGGCCATCAAGTCCAGGAGGTCCTGGTGGCCCATCGAGTCCAGGTGGTCCAGGTGGTCCATTTGGTCCTGGTGGACCATCTGGTCCAGGTGGTCCTGGTGGTCCATCTACTCCTGGAGGACCACCTGGTCCAGGTGGTCCTGGTGGACCATCTTGCCCTGGTGGACCATCTGGTCCGGTTGGTCCTGGAGGACCCACTGGTCCTGGTGGTCCTGGTGGCCCAGGTAGTCCTGGAGGTGGTGCTGGTGGACTTCCTGGAGGTGATCCTGGAGGTGAGCCAGGTGGACTTCCTGGAGGTGATCCAGGTGGACTTCCTGGAGGTGGTCCAGGTGGACTTCCTGGAGGTGATCCAGGTGGACTTCCTGGAGGTGGTCCAGGTGGACTTCCTGGAGGTGATCCAGGTGGACTTCCTGGAGGTGGTCCAGGTGGACTTCCTGGAGGTGATCCAGGTGGACTATTGTCATCTGGGGTAAAAGCTGCATTGGATGGCACTTGTCTCTTTATCTTTGCAGAAAGACAGCTGGTTCCTGTGATAAAGAGTTGACATCTTTGTGACATGGTTACCTTTTACTTACTCTTTTACTTGGTAGTTAAGAGTTTGAAGACTTACCAAACAGCACAAGGGCAACAGTGAACACCTTGAGAATCCTCATTGTGGCTGATGATGCCCTAAAAGACTGTGAAAAGGGATGATAAATGTACATTGAGAGAAAGTCCATGTGGTGAACATGATGGGAGAACTGGCTGGTGTGACACACTCAGTTTGTTGAGGCTCAGGTACCATGCCCTGCCACGAGACATCTGGACTGCGACTAGGAAGAAGAGTCATAAATCTCTGCCAATCCTAATGATGTTGCAGTTGGACCGAATTCTCGCATTTACTGAAACCACAACTTTTCTGGAAATCACTTTTTTAGTTGAGATACAAATTGGTAATTTTTTTATGCTGTAATTTCTGTACATGGTGCCAGCACCAAACATACACTTCAAAGTCCACGGTCACACAGAGCCTTGCCGTGCAAAAGCTTTTAACTTCACAAACCATTTGTTCACAAAGGTTTGCATTGTGGAACACAGTGGACACCCAGCATTTTCGCGGCTCCTCACTTATTTAGAGATTATTTGTTTCAAATTTAAAATACTTTTTTGGGGGGTTTACCAGTGGACAGTAAAAGAAATAAATTCAACAATCAACCAACTGTGTTTCTGTGTGTGTGTGTGTTGTAAAAATCCTTTGATTTGGGACTTTTTTTCATTTCATTTGAAAATTGTTTTCAAAAAGTGACGCGGAATGTAAGTTTTGTTTTTGGTTTGTTGATGAAGCACCATCCATAGTCTCAACAGCGTGAGAACTTTGGCCGACTCTTGTGCGTGTCATGTGTTCCCAAGTCTGGAGAGACTTTTAGTTTTTTCCCCCCAAGGTCTGAACTCAACTGTGCTTACCTCCGGCTTGCCTAAGATGAATTACAATGTTTCTTTTGTATGCAATTGTCAGGATAATGAGGCTGACAAAGTGGAGCATGTCACCACAGCAAGCTTTGTCACGAGGAGAGATGATTTATTATTATTTATTTTTTTTTTTTTGCACTGACTCAAAGACATTAAGACAGTCATTGATGGATCACTTGGGTCCAAAACATGTTTCAATGTTTGCCATATAAACCAGACAATAATTCATTGAACACCACAAGACTTTATGAAGTTATTTGTTGGGATTATGAGGTCAGCCCCAAGTGTGACTCGTTTCAAGTCTAAATTAAAAAATACGGGTAGATTCCCATGCCTGTAACTGGGCTCCTTTAAAGCATTTTTTTACTTCAATGCAGTTTAAAAAAATCTTTTTCTTCTCTTGTCCAAGTAATTTTACTACTCCCTCTTTTATTTTTATACTTTGTTTCGAATGTCTTCAGTTCTTTTATTTTTAAATGCTTTTAAATGTTGTAATTCTGCTTTGTATGAATCAAGTTGCCTTGCGCACCATTCCAAAAGTAATGAAAGCATTCTACTGAATGCAGCTTGGCGGCAATTATGATCTTTGATCGACATGAAAAATAATGCTTTGTTTCAATGTACAAAGATGGTTTGCTGAAAGGAAACACTAAAAATGTCACACGCATTCATATATTAGACCACAAATGAACAACCCGTCGCCCGCGGGCACAGGCGACACGCTCATTGACCGGCCTCTTAATTAGCTTTCAAAAAAAAAAAAATAATTCTGTGATGGTGATATTTATGAAAAAATGCACGACATGTATTCTTACACGTAATATTGGTTTGCTGTTTACCCATATCGTGCCATCTTCTAATGGTAATTTTTTTATGCCTGGGAGCCCTGTGCGCTGCAATATAAAATAAAATAAAATAAAAAAATCACAGTACATGGTTTATTTTTGATTGTTCAAACGTTCTTGAAGGATGGATCTTTTCTGACTTCACTAAAAAAAAATCTCTTATGAAAAATGAAATATGTTGAGGGGACGTATTTTGCCCGTATGCAGGTTTTGTCTGTATTTATAATGCCGTTTTTGTCATACACTTGGTTTGGAAGTGTGTGGTCCAATGTAACCTGAGCCGAAATGCATATTTTTCCCCTGATTGAACAAAGAACAACCCCAAATATGTCCACTATTAAAGTTATGATCCCTGAAAACAAATCAAGATGGTGACAGTACTCACCACGCACACACACAAGTTTGCTCTCGGAGGCCCTCTCAGGCTTGCGTTGCTCTCAGTCCTGCTTCCGTCTCTTCTCTGTCGCCTCACAGTCGTTACCAGTGAGCTTAAATCACTTGTCCGGCCACCATTAAGGTGTGGCCCTTTTTCAGGTGGAGCACTGAATTGATTTTCTTTTGTTTTCACACAATTACAGAAGGTGGTTTCTTTTCAGTGGGTATTCCCAAGCAGTATTTCTTCGTCACGTTGCCAAATTGTAAGGCATTTGTTAATTAAATCATTCTGAAATCAATAGAGCACACAAAAGGTCATTGCCGCTGGGATCTTATGCGCAGGTACGTGGAGTCATAACTTGTCTTCAAACAGCTTGAAACATGTTTTTTTTCTTTTTTGTGATCTCTGAGTCAGTCTCACAGTTTCGATTTTTTTGTTCCCTCTGAGTCAGTAAGTAACAAAAACGATACCATGGCACTTTCGTTGAAATAATCATGAGTTGTCAAAATTGTCCAATTAAAAAACAAAAACAGGCACCTGGTGATAGCCACGGACCAAGTCCACTTTGGAAAAAAATGGTGGTGCCAGCCAAACGTGCAATAAAATCTTGAATGTGAGGAATGGGGTCGCAGTCACGTGTGGTAACATTGTTAAGTAGATGAATATCACCACAAGGCCGCCATGAACCATCGCTTTTCGGCACCACATGCAAGGGCGTGGCCCACAGACTATTCAAACGCCCCACAAAGCCCAAACGTTCCATTGTAGCAAATTCTCCCTTCGCAATGGCCGATTTGGCCATGTCAAGGCAAGGCGTGTGGGCAAAAACTGGCGGGCCAACGGCTGTGGAAAAAGTGAGAGTCGTTAGTGATGGAAAATCTCTCAGCAAACATTGATAAACATCACCTGATGCCAAATAATTTGCATGTGTTAATGGTCCGATTCCCTCAGCTTCACACGAAAAAGTAGCGAAAGAGACAGCGTCAATCAAACAGCGATTAGCAACATCCACTAGCAGTTTGTGTGCACACAAAAAATTCGCACCCACAATTCGAACAATGATCGAAGCAACAATGAAGTTCCACTGGAAATTGTGTCCATGCAAGTGCAGTTATTGGCTTTGATCCAAAATTGACAATGGGCGAGCTGTTTGGGGTGGCCCGCATCCACCTGCTGTCTTGTCCGCGGCAGTGCACATAAGCAGACTAACTTGTGACCCGCTGTCAAGCAGGAAATGTCTTCCTGACAACGCGTCCGTAATGAAGAGCAGCTCAGTTTCTCAGCCGGCGCCGACAGCCGCAACTGAATGCCGGCGTTGAAGTTTCCAAAACCCTCGTAGGTGCAGTGGGGTACACAATGCCGAGCCTTGGAGCCAAACCGCTGGTGGAAGAAGCAGAGGGCCTTGTCGTGCTGCTTCCATGCGACCACTGCGGCCACCAATGTCGGGTCCGCGTCTCGTGTCGCTCTGCGGGGTGTGTGTGTGTGTGTGGGGGGGGGGGGGGTATCAGCCACCCCACTCTGCATGATGAACCACTTTGTAACCAGCAGTACTCAATCGGCTTCTTCGGCCAAGCCCCGATAATTGCTGTCTGCCAGACAAGCGGACTTCACCAACCCCGCTTGCACAGGAGGCAGTAACTGTAATAAGAAAATGTGCGGCAAAAGGAATCCGCTCTCATCCGAGCCTTGGAGCGACAACATTTTGTCCATGAGATCCCTTGTCGTGCCATTGCCCAACCCAGTCAGGGAAAGGAGTTTGTCAGCTCTCTCTGAGTCCAACAAACTGAACCTCCTGAGCTGGAGCAGTTGGAGCGCGTTGTACTAATCGTTCTGTGGAGGTGAATGCAAGAGCTGCATAACACAAAGTATAGTCAGTTAGTCCAGGGCCGCCATTACCATGCAATACTTCGGTGGTGATTCGCCATATGTGGAAAAGTGCTTCGACATGCTGAAACCACGAAGCCGGGTCAGTCTGCCAGAACTCCGGCAGCCTCGCGGTCGCGATGATGGCTGCATGTTGCGGGAGTTGGGGAGATATACCAGAGGAAGACACCACTTCACCCGCTGCTCAAAACATATTCGACGTTGGGGTCACCAATGTGCCAGTAGTAATTGCATACACATGACTGACTGGAAACTACGTCTTTAGTCCACAATTGCCAACAAGAGAATCTCTTGCATTGGAAAATTGCACCAAAAACATTAATGTCAACATGCCGCCCACAGCCCGTATGCTGGGTGAAAGGCATGGCTCTAATGTCCGCCACAATATTCATGAATTATATTAATGACATATTTTTGTGTTATTGCACACAGCACAGCTATCCTCCGATCTGTCTCAGTTTTACAAAAAGTATTTCTAAAATAGAAGAGCAGGTCACCTTTAATCTACGGTGTGTGTGTGTGTGTGTGTGTGTGTGTATATATATATATATATATATATATACAGAGAGAGAGAGAGAGAGAGAGAGAGAGAGAGAGAGAGAGAGAGAGAGAGAGAGAGAGAGAGAGAGAGAGAGAGAGAGAGAGAGAGAGAGAGAGAGAGAGAGAGAGAGAGAGAGAGAGAGAGAGAGAGAGATACAAGGTGGATGCTTTTTGCTCTGCTACCCCCCATCTCCTTTACTCCTCTGGTTTGCTAACTTTTTCTAAGTGCTGTCTTCTGTCTTTATATATCGTCTGTATTTTTTTTCCTCCAAAAAGACATGCTATGGAATTAGTCACCTGGAATCTCAGCACAATGAATAAACCTTTTTTGACAAAAAGAACAGGTGGTGGGGAGCCTTCTTTCCCCTCTGGTACATTTGCTCCTGGGTACACCATAGATCCTTGGCAGAAGTGGAAAATGGTGTGCTTGACATTATTGTCTGTAACAGGATGTGTAAGACATCTACATTATTTGCCTTTTGAGAACAAATATCTTGCTGTTTTGTATTATCCTGCTGTTGGTAGTTAGTTCGTTTCGTTTCGTTCGTTTGTTTATTGAACATAAAAACATATACAGTAATAAACTGACAGAAAGTAAGGTAAGTAAAATAGTAAAAAGGAATGAGAAATCAGTCATCATTTAACACAATTATTATGTTCAAGGGAGTAAGAGGAAGTAAAAAACGTATCTAGTCCTACCCCGTGTTATGTGTTTATATATAAATAGATCATTTTTATATCGATCAGAAAAGAAAGAAAGAAAGAAAGAAAGAAGAAGTCTCCATCAAGGCTCATGCTTTTACCCTTAACCGTGGTATTTTTACAAATTTTGGTTTGTATCGGGATTTTATACATACACACCCTGGCACTCTTGTGTCAATTTTCTCTTGTTTTCATAATGGGTATTGCAGTACCTTTCTCTATTTATCAACTTAATTCTAATTTATTATTACATTTAATTAATGTTTAGAATTTATCACCTTAACTCTGATTGATGTAGGTTCTTTGTACAATTTTTTTTGAATTTCTTTTTAAACTCAGCAAGCGATTTACTCATTTTCAGATCCGTTTCGATATTATTCCACAGATTAACACCTTTTACCACTACACTTCTTTGCTTGATGTTTGTTCTTGTTTTGAGTTTTTTGAATAAGATGGTACCTCTTAAACCATAGCAGCTTTCTCGAATTTCGAAAAACTTCAGAATGTTTTGGCAGAGCAGGTTATTGTGTGCTTTGTACATTAATTGGGCGATTTTAAAGTCAACCAGGTCATAAAATTTCATCGTATTTAATTTGATAAATAGTGGATTTGTGGGTTCTGTATATTTTGATCTATTAATAATTCGAATTGCTTATTTTTGTAGTTTTAGAATAGGGAGTGTGTTTGTTTTACAGGCATTTCCCGATATTTCCACACAGTAGGTCATATATGGTAATAACAATGAAGAGTATAATGTGTACAAAGACCTCTTATTTAGCACATCCTTGGTTTTGTAGAGGATCCCTATGGTTTTGGCTATTTTTCTTTTTACGTTATCGATATGTGGCTTCCAACATAGTTTTGAGTCTATTACTATTCCGAGAAACTTGATTTCACACGCTCTTTCGATCTCAATTGAGTTTACCATAATTTTAGCTTGGTGTTTGATTGGTCTTGTGCCAAAAACAATTAACCTAGATTTTTTCAAGTTAAGTGACAATCAATTTCTGTCGCACCAGTTTTTTAATTTGTTTAATTCGTTTTCTACGGTTGTCAGGAGCTGTTTCAGATTTATTCCAGAACAGTAGAAAGTTGTATCATCAGCAAATAGGACACATTTAAATTGTTTTGAAACCTTGCAGATATCATTTATAGATAAGATGAATAGTTTTGGACCAACCATTGACCCGTGAGGAACTCCATGAGTGATTTTCAGTTGGTTCGTTTTTTTATTGTTGAGCTGCACGTACTGATATCTGTTATCTAAATCACTTTTTATCCATTTATAAGCTACACCTCTAATGCCATATCTTTCTAGTTCATTCAATAATATACCATGATCTATTGTGTCAAAAGCTTTTTTTAGATCTAGGAAAATCCCCGCAGTAAATTCTTTGTTGTCTATATTAGTGGCTATTGCTTCCACAAACTCCATAACTGCCATTGAGGTGGTCCGTTTTTCCCTGAAGCCATATTGATTCTCACTTACCAGCGCATGTTTTTGTATAAAGCTATCAAGTCTGCTAGAGAATAGTTTTTCTAATATTTTTGAGAATTGAGGTAGTAGTGATATTGGTCTATAATTTGTAAACAAATGTCTTTCTCCACTTTTGTAAATTGGAATAACTTTAGCGATTTTCATTTTTGATGGAAAGATACCAGCTTGAGTGACAGGTTGCATATGTGCGTGAAAGGTCGCACTACAAATTCTATAATCTGTTTTATTATTGTCATATCAATATTAAAGCAATCAGTTGACTTTTTATTTTTAAAAGATCTGACAATATTTGATACTTCTTGTTTTACAGCATTAAGGAACATCATGGAGGAGTTTTTTTTTCTACGTATCTATTTCAAACAGGTTTGTTGGATCAGGAATTTGTTTTGCTAGGTTACTGCCGATATTCACAAAGTCCTCATTAAATTCAATTGCTACTATCTGCAGTTTTTTCAATTACAGTTTTTTTGCCTTTGAGAAAATACTCTGGATAATCCACTTTTTTCGTGCTATTTCTGATTACTTGATTAAATATTTTCCATATTATAATAATAATAATAATAATAATAATAATAATACATTTTATTTATAAGTGCCTTTCAAAATACCCAAGGGCACTTTACAATCAAAAAGAGCAATAAAACCACAAATAAAATTATAAATAATCAAAGCGATGAGTTTAAACAGTATATGCAATTTTAAATAGGTGGGTTTTGAGATGAGTTTTGAAAATAGGAAGAGAGTCAATATTTCGAATGTCGGGTGGGAGTGAGTTCCAGAGTTTGGGGGCAGAGCGGCTGAAAGCTCTGCACCCCATCGTGCTGAGACGGGCAGAGGGTACACCGAGGGGG